CTAGTCTTTAGTTCTTCGGCTCTGCTTTTAAGCACAGCTGAACCTCCCTTAAGACTGAAGATTCTATTATTCAGTGCAGACTCAAGGCAAATAGTTATGTATAGTATAGTCTTAAATTTAAAGTATTACAGGGAATTTGGTTATGAGTTAAGAAATACACAATAATGGAATCATAGGCATCTTAGTTGTGTTGATAATTTGTTTAGCTATGTTTCATACAATGAAGTAAAGAGAAAAAAAATAGATGACACATCCCTGACTCGCTTATTTTGTTCTGTCAAATGCATTTAAAAGAAAGGATGGCATGGTTTTAAAAAGGGTGTTCTAATTTGGAACATTACAGTACACTTATTGGGACTGATTGTTACAGAAAGAGAGAAGAAAATCTTCTGAGGTCACTTCCTGTACTCTTAGCTACAGTAAAGGCAATTGGCTCCATGACAGGGTTCTGTAGCTATGTATCTAGAATGCTGAGTCGTCACTGGCAGACCTGCAAAAAAACTGTTGGATTGTTCCCCATAGCTAGCTGTCACTGTTCAGACCAGACAGTGCTCTAATAAATGCAACACTACACAAATGCAAGATGAATTACTTGAATTTGAACTACTAGATGAATTTAAATGACTAGAAGAATTATCTTCAGTTATCTCAAGCACACTCTCATCAGCTACTGTGCAGCAATCTAGCAATTTATTTTAATGCAAAGTTAGTATCCTGATAGAAAGTGTGCTTCAGAACCTACTATATTGATTACAATTAGTTATGTTGCCTATTCAAGCAATTATAGCAGCTTGCAATAATTAAGACCATCAAATCCAAAATATTTTCAAAATTACATATATTTGTATTGTAAGCCTTTATTCTTTAAATTCTCAGAATAGTTACTACATTAATTGGGTGCATTGTCTGTGTAGCTAGAATCCTTAAATGTGATGGCCCACCTTAGTTTCCAAAGTGCATCTGGCACCATCTTAATGCTAACATTTTCACTAGCATTGCTCTTCCTGAAAGATGCTTTAAGCAGTCAAACTAATTTGTTTTCCTATTTTCTCCCAATCAGAGAAAAGAATTTACAAGAAATGGGCACCCAGATAACTTTTCAGAACCATATGCCTTTCAAGATTGATTGTATAGTAGGTAGTGTTAGTATTTGATATAACTAATACAGAATTCCACCTTTGTGGTGGCAGTCAGCTTTTAAAACCTGTTTGCATGTTCATAGTTGAGTATTTGTCTGATTTATCATTGGAAGGATAATCGCAGTGCTTGCATTACAATGCTTTAAAAAATAAAACAGTAATTCCTAAATAATGAATCAAGGCAGATTAAAGTGCCACAAGAACTTTTTATAATATAACTTGTAAACTCATTCCCATCTATATAGGAAGTTATCCAAACCATCTTATGTTTGCAGAGTTGACTGTGTCTTTCTGAGAAGTCTCCATTGTGGGTAGGCACAACATGTTCAAAGTTTTTGTTGATTCACTCGGCTTATTGCAATGGGTATCCTCGTAGCAAAATTGCCTATCTTTGAAGAGTTTGTAGAGGTTTGCAGCTATGTGAATGAAATACATAACACATTTTTGATGGGGAAAAACTACTTTGTGAATTGAAAATTTGAAAAAATGAGTACTACATCAAATTATGATCTGGTGGCTGGATTCCTGTCACTACGCGTGACTGGTAAAAAGTCCCAGAGATATCCCTGATCATCGGTTGATGCCTCTAATCCCAGAGGCATCAAGATGATGAAGACTCTGCAGAATGTTAGGTTTTCTTTTTCTGTTGAACTCTTAACCTAGGAAATTTAGCAAATTGTTTTTGCTATCCCTGTTTTAAACATCTGTTTGCCATTCAACCAAAAGAAAAAGAAAAAAAAAACCAAGATATGACTTAGCTGGATGTTCTATTGGTTAATTCTGATTAAAGTGCATTGAAAATTATTTAATGTATCTTCTTTTCTTTTTACTGCCTTGGCATTTCTTTTCCATCCTTTTTCAGATGTTTAGTAAATCCCGGATTCATATACTGGATTTGAAAAGTTGATGCTGGGTGCCACCAGTTGTGTGCTGTGGAAGATGGCTTCCCAGATGCCCTTGCAGCATGGCTGCAAACTCTTGCAGGGGGTTGAATTGTTTGTTGCTTTGCCCCTCCGGTGTTTGTTACATTCACTTTGTTGGGGCCAAGGAACCTGCAACAGTAGTGCAAGCTCCCAAATTGAGGTTGAGTCCTCTGATACAACAAGTAGTCCTCATTTAGCAACCACATTAGGACCAGCAGCATGGTCATTAAAGTGGCTGCTAAGTGACACTGCAACTGTGTTATGTCTTACTTCAGCTTCCCTTTGCTTTACAGACCTGTGAAAGTTATAGATGTGAGGATTGGTCATAAAGTTGCTTGTTCATCATTTTTTAATTGCAAACAGTCATTGAATGAGGCAGTCACTAAACCACAACTACTTGCATTTGGAAAGGCAAATTAGTCCTATTTAAAATAAGGATAGCACTTACAATTCAGATTATTCTAATACATAGGTATTGTAATACCTATGTTTTTAATAATCAAGATCACTCTGGTATTTGTTTCTTTCATGCTAGTAAATAGCTAACTTCTGTAGCAGGCAGTTCACATTGGAACTGACTCCCAACTGTATTTTTATTTTCATATTACAGCATTTGCTAGGAAAGGTTTAGTTATCTGCTTGTCTAAAACTTTTGCAGATCAATAAAATAATTTATTTCACATAATAACAATAGAATCAACTCATCTGAAAAATTACCACCTCAGGCTTAGGCTTTATTATAGATATTCATACTCCTTCATCACCAATTTGCCAGTTTGAAGTTCAGATGCTTTCATATTTATAAGGGAGAAAAGCTACTATACTTGCAAAGCATTTCATCCAATTTGCACTGCTGCACATTCTGTGACCCCTGTGAACACAAAGGTTTTTATGGGTAACTAGTTGAACTGTCAAGTCTAAGGTCAAGAAGCTGGAACAAAACAACAAACAAGAAAGTGCAATTATAGAATTGTAAAAAAATGAATAACAACTGATAGCAAATAAGAAGAGGGAACAGAATGCATAAACAGGGATAGAAAAAGTTAAATATTTTAAAATTATTCAGTTAAGTTGTTCATTTTGGCGCCGCATCTTGTTAAGCTTTTCTGTTTAGACTCTAATATTTAGAATTGTTTACCAATAAGAATGGCTGTGTAGGCCTTGAAAGGAACAATAATGTTGGTGGGAATTGTTTGCTTAAAGTGTTCTCAAGTGCAATATAGCTGCTGAAAATAGATGCCATCTAGTTGTTCAAGGTGTAATAGCATCTGTTAATAACATATAAGCTGCTAAGATTTTATAAATGAAAATAAAAACTATTCTTGTGCCACTTCCCTCACAGAGATACATTTTCTCTCCAGGCTGTGATCTAGAGTGATGATTCCTGGGATGCAGCTGATATGTAACTTATTAACCTAAAAGTAGTTTACCTTTGTATAGTGCTATGATTGTACACAACTTAGTGGAATGGAAAATGGAAGTGTCATCCATAACTAAAATGCCAGTGATACAAATGTGTATGTAATATGTAAGGTGTTGGTAGATGTGGTCAGCACCTTCAGTTTTAAGCTTTCAATGCTTGCTATTGTCATTTCTCCAGGTTTATTTAAAATATATTTTCTCAGTTAAATGGTGCATCTGTAAGTGATGTGCAAAATTTAAAAAAATAAAACAATAAAATCACAGTTTATCACGATAGTATTGATAATTAGGATTACAATTTGTCAGGATTATCAAGATTTAAGATTAATAATCACATATCAAAAATCAAAAGGGTCTTTGTAATTTTATTTTGAAAGGAAGGGCATTCAGGGAATGGATGTTTCAAGCTTAAATGCTATATTCCTGGTTGATACCAAAGAAAGATTTAGAGGATGAATTGCACCTGATGTGGTTCTTAGTAGGCAAGCAGATTTATATAGGAAAAGGCATTCTGTCAGTGCTTCAATTATATAATACGAAAACTTTTAAACTGGTATAGTACCAAGTCGGCAGCTAATCTTTCAGTAAGAGTTTATGCTGCACTGACTAAGTAAATCACAGCAATCTTATTAGTGCATTTTTTGTACTACTTGTGATAGACCTACATATTATATTTAATAGAATAACACAGTTGGAAGGGACCTTGGAGGTCTTCTAATCCAACCCCCTGCTTAGGCAGGAAGCCTTACATCACTTCAGGCAAATGGTTATCCAATCTTCCAAATGTAGCAACCCACCCACCCACCCACCCCCATAGAATATGTTATAAGAATCCCATTAGGAAGGGACTAATATATTCTAACGATTAAGCCAGGGATCTTCAAACTTGACAGCTTTAAGACTTGTGGACTTCAACTCCCAGAATTCTTCCTCCAGTCATGTTAGCTCAGGAATTCTGGGAGTTGAAGTCCACAAGTCTTAAACTTGCCAAGTTTGAAGACCCTTGGACTAAGCTATACACTCCAAGTCATTTCTACATTGCTTACTTTAAAATAGTTCTAGCTTTAAATGCCTCTAGTGATAACTGTATATTTCTGTCAGGATCTCTGCCTGCTCGTTTAAAGAGGAGCACATCTCTCATCCTGAGGAGGTGAGGTGTGCAGCACTTGGATGTCAAGGGTAAAAATATGTTTGGGGGCACTTGTATAGCATCTCTGTAACTCTTAAAGCAGCTCTATCTTTTTTAAAAAAATGAAGGCAGCCTCCTTAGCTGTTGCACGACCCAGGAAAAGACACTTTTTTCATTTGCAGACAGATGCTCTTGCAAGCTTCAAAATACTATTTTACTTTTAAATCCACAGCACTATGTATACCCTCTTGCTTTTTAGATTTGGGAGTCTTATTCCCATAGAACATTTCAGTATGATTTACCAATCTCATGAATCTTACACTTAAATAATCTTGTATTTCATTGAAGAGGGTTTTCCCACCCACTCATTTCTGTTCCTGTTTCTAGGACTGTGACAGCTTTCCAAACTGAGGGATTTTCCAGAACTCAGTAGATGCAGGACTGTGTTACTGCTACAGAAAAGAGAAACTGACTGACAGGTATCAGAGAAGGAGCCTACAGTTTGAATGTAAGAGGAAGAATGTATTCACTGTATTTGAGATTCCTTCCCCATCCACTACTAGATAGTGCTCTCCTTTTTAATTGTTTAGAAAGGCACAACTTTCAATTTATAGATTGCTGGATGCTGGGAAGGTTGACTTTTACTCAGTGTACAGTGTAGACTCTATAATTTTTAATAGCATTGTTTTAAAGCATTTGGAATAGGGATGTCTAGAATATTCCTCAATTAATTGTACCATGCAACGCCTATATTTTTCGAATGTCAGTATTTTAATACACGGGATTATTTAATTAATAGATAGGAAGAACAGAATTCCTTAGGATAGTTTATTATATTTGAATAAGATGATCAGATGGCATGAGCCAAACAAACATCATTTTGGAGAGCTTGGATTCCCCTTTTTACTAAAAGTTATTTTTTAAGTACTTAGACAAGCTATCTGGGAGAAATACATTATTATAGTATAATAATATAATTATTGTACTTGTCTTTCTGGATGGTAAATCAACAATAATGCATTTTTTGCCTTAGATGTAATAAGGACATTTTGTTATAATGGCTGGCTCCCAAGAGTGCAAAATCTATCATATTTGCCAATTCATATTCACACAATAGTCTATTCATATTTTGTCAATTCATTTTCTCACAGTAATTACTGAATTCATTTGTTTTAAGATTAAAATATTGCAAGTCTACTGATTTTTTTACACAGTAATTGGCATATTGTTAAAAAGTTAACTTGGGTGGGGGGAATAAGCATTTACAAGGCAAGGATTATTTTAAAGTTTTAATGCCAGAGGGACTCAATGTGGTAATGAATTCCATGATTACTTCTATATATTGAAGTGGGTTTTTGAATATACCTGCTGCACCATATAAATAGAACATATAAAATGGCTTTAAGTATGTGCATGTGGTGCATCTGATCTACACACTAGTCTTTAGGATATATTAATGGAGCAAGTTCTACAGCACATGTGCCCACATGTTGTGTTCTACAATATAGGTAATAGTACCAGTAGTATTTCCCCAGTTTGCATATACTCTAGGTCAGGGGTCTTCAAATTTGACAGCTTTAAGACTTGTGGACTTCAACTCCCAGAATTCCTCCTCCAGTCATGTTAACTCAGGAATTCTGGGAGTTGAAGTTCACAAGTCTTAAACTTGCCAAGTTTGAAGACCATTGCTCTAGATGACTACAGTGTGTTCATAAATGGATGTTTTCCCAATGGTTACACTGTCTTCTAGTGAGCATGTCATAGCAATATCTTAATATGCTGTTAGTTTCATGTCTGCATAGCTTAAGGTGCACATTAATTTGTTACGGTCTGCTAAATGTTAAAGCAATTTATCTCTTAATGGAGGTAACTTTGCTAGAAATATTGGGGAAGATGCAGCACAACTTATTCTATTAGCAGTAGCTTACAAATTTAAACCATTATATTCTCAATATTTTAAAAATATTCCTAATTTTTCTAGCACTTTTTATCAGGCTAGGCAGTCATCATAATTATCAAAAATTTGTGGTGAATTAATTCAATTTTAGAAATGGAAAATTTACGTTATGTAAGGAATACATTTATGGCTGAGCAGAAAGTCTGTCTCTGTCCTTAGTACAGTACTTTCAAATAAGCTGTTATTTAATGTCTGTATTATTGTCTGGCATAAGCAACACGTTCCACACATGAGGTGTTCAAATTGAATATACCTACATTATTATATTCTATCTACGATAAGACTGCTTGCCTTCTTTAGGAAACTAACAAGTAAGATTCCATGGGGAGGGTGTCAATCTCAGATGTTTTGTAGCTGTGCAGTGACGGAAGGCTAATTTCTCACTTAATTCCTCCTCCTTGTCTGGCTGATAGTTTACCAACATCATCCCTCTCCTACAAAAGCCCCCTTCCCCTTTCCATGTTGCCTTCAATGTCTGAGTTCTTATAGGAAATTTGGACAGGTGGGAGCAATGCCACTTTAAAGGAATTGTTTGCCCCAAGTGTAGAATTTTCCCAGCCAAGTGGCAAGATGCTACATACTCCTTGATGTCTGCCACCATCCTGGGTCACCTAACGTTTCACAATATCCTGTGTAGTGTCTTGAAGACACTTCCATGACCACTTGCCTCAACAGGATGGCAAAGCTACAGAAAGGTAATGATCCTTTATAGTGATCTTAATAATTATCTTTGTAATGGTGGACTGTGCACATCTGGATGCACTAATTGGGTTCTGAAAATTCTGTCTCTCTTTGGAACAAAAGGGTAGGTGCTAAAGTTGGTGACTTTGAGGGTATGATATATCCTTTCAGCAAATTGGAATCCAAATAAAATCAACCATTCAATTGCTGATATTGGATATTGCTTCTTAGATGGAATTTTGGCCCAGCTTTCTATCAGTGCTGCTCTGTTCCAAACCATACCTGCCAATAACTTGAAATCGTCTATGCCTTCTTTGAGCTACTGAATATCACAGCTGGCTGTCATGATTCATACTCAGGAGTCTCTAAAATGCCCCTTGAATCTGTCCATCAAGTTCTGGTAATTGTCCATGACCTGGTTGTTTCCCTTTAGGACTGGCAGCATCCACTTAACTGCCAACCCCTTCAGCAAGTTTAGCACGAAGGATACTCTTGTGCATTCTGTAGGGAATTCTTCAGTTCAACCTGAGTGATAAAGATTCTTATCTTGTCCGCTTCTCTCCCCCCCCCCCCCCCCCCAATGTTTCTGGCAAACCTCTATGGCAACACAGCAAAACTAGCTGTGCAGCTGGGATGGCCGGGGATATTGGAGTAGCCAGATCCTCTGGCGACAATGGGATGTTCTGAACTTGCTGCTGGACTAGGTGAAGCACCATGGCTTCCAAGTTCCTCACTTCAGTCTCTGTCCCTTCCTGATGTCATAGTGAGACATCCACTATATTCTTAGCTAATTCTTTAGGTCTTGGCGGTAAACTTTCTCCTTTCCCCAGAAATGTGAGATAGAAATCTAGAGAGAGATTAATGAGCAAGCAACCAGATCCACATGTAAAAGGTTCAAAAATACAAAAACTTCCAAGGATTCACCTTCCCAGTATACCCCCTCTGGTTTTTTAATCAGTTTGAATCTGTTCTAACATGAAATCCTGTAAAATTGTCTGAAATATGTATGCATATATATTGCTTGGCATATGGTCAGCTTGTTTAGGAAGAAAAAAATCTTAAGACATGGGCTGTCTCCCATGTCCCCCTAAAAGTTATAACTGCATGTAAATATTATTTAATGGTCAATATGTCTAATCACCTACAGGTAGTCCTCGATTTACAACTGATTGCTTAGTATCTATTCAAACTTACGATGGAGCTATTTTGGAACCATTTATAATCCAGTTCCTAAATTCCAACAATCTGGGACTGCCAGTTTTTTTTCAAAATTACCCCAATGGCAAACCATGCTGTTTGCTTTATGTCTTTTGTAAAAAAAAAAAAAAAACAATGAGTCAGTCCTGTGAACAATCTTTTATAATCCTAACAACTTTCAACTATCCATTACAATCAAATGTCAAGGACTATCTACCTCCATTTGTAAATGCCACGTTTCCATGGAGTTAGTTGGGCAGGTCATCAGTTTACAGTGTCATGAAGCAATGGTGTGGGTGTTCTTTAAAATTTTGATTTTTCAGTTAACTCTTCTCTACCAATTTGTTGCCAAATCTGACAGCCAGAAATCTTGAGGCATGTCTGGAGAGTAACGTTGAAGTAATTCAACTAAATTCAGAACATAGAACAAAGCAATTGAGAGACATACTTTCTAGAAGCACAACAGTAGCTCTAGATTTAATTTGAAGTCAGTTGAATAGATCTGTGCACAGACAAGGTGAGCCCTCTACAGTCCTGCCCCAAGCTATATTTGACATGCTCTGAATTGATGCAGCATATGCTAAACGAAGTGACTTTTCAGCATGTTAAAAATTAATGTATTGGAAAAATAAGTGCTGCTACCAATGTAGTAGAAGAGGATTAAATGTTTTTTTTAATAAGATATATAAATCAGATGCTTTTTTCATAAACTTTCTTTTGATATAATAACTATTAATTTACGTTTACTACTTTCATCTATATAGAAAATAAATTATGGTGGGTTTTTTTGTTTTGCAGCTTAGGTGATCTATATAGTTCTCTTTGAGGAGTCAAAAAGCAGACAGCTCATGACTTCTGATCAGGACACTAAAATTGTGGCTGAACCGCAGGTGCAGCAAGAAGTTAAGGATAGTTCTCATCTGGTAAGTTTTGACATTATCTTGACTAGTGGGAATTTGCAAATATAATTAATTAGGCACTGTGCTGTGAAGTACATTTTTGCTTTTGGTAACTTGTCAAGTTATTTTACAAAATTTGTAGCAAATAGCAATCTTCCCATGCCACTATAACCCTTTCCCCCAGATTTTAGTTATGCCAACTAATACTAAGTTAAATGAAGATGTTACATAATTGATATTGCCAGTAACAGCAGCCAGCAGATCAGTCTTCTTATGGTTTCACCTTCAAATCATATCAGTTCTGAAAGCATAGCTAGAGGCCAAGAATGGTAGGGGTTAGAGTTCAGAAAAAAGTTTACTCCAGATCAATGCAATTAGTCTAGATTAAAAAATATGCGGTGATATATTATACTTACAGTTTACAGCGTGTTCACAGTTTCCTGTTGCCGCAAGCTTTTATAAGTATGATTGTCTACTTTAAAGAAATGGTTCATTGGTTCTTCTGGGAAAGTTAGTCTCTCCAAAATGACATACAAAAAAAGAAAATGGAAGATTTACAATATTGCATGTCTTTAATACAAGTATCTATTACTATCATTCATTGGGCTAGCAAGATTTCTTTTACATGTCTATATTAGTTAGTAGCAGAGAAGACAGGCACAGTTCATTTGCCAAATCCCAATGGGGAGGAGATGTTGAATGAGATATTATAAAGGCAGGATTCCAAATTTAATTTCCCTATACAGTGAGATTGTGAAAATGGCTTACACAGTATGATTCTTTTTACCAAATTCCAGTGAAAAAAGAACATCTACATGAGCAAAATTACTGTGATAAAATTACTGTGATGAGCCTTTATATTTAAATCATATAATAAAGTGTGTATTTTGATCAAACAGAAGGAATAGGGTGTTAATTACATTTCTCTAAGGCATCTTTTTAATTTGAATCTTGCTTCCTTCATCCAGTTTGAAATTTTTTAGAATAAACTTGAATTATACCCCCAGGCTTCTAAATTGTTACTAAAGCCATACCAGAGATTATCTAAACCGCTGTTAACAATGGAAAGCATAATTTTCATATCAGTATACTGGTACAAGGATTGAAATTCACTGCCGCAGAAATTAAAGAGGATTTAAGTTAGTAATGACTAGATTTTCATACTGATTTCAGTAGACTTAAATTTCATAAATATACCCTGAATCATTTTGATGGGCTTCTGAATTGGTGGACATTATTCATTATTTAAGGTAACTAATTGAATTGTACTATTATATGTAACCAAATACAGACATGGTCCAGGTGTTAAGGGCATATGCTTTAACATTTGGTTCAGAATTTAAAACAGATCAGTCCATTTAAAATATAGGAACATTTCATGTTTTATTTATTTGTTTATTAAATTTATGTGCTGCCCATCTTGCTGTCCAAAGCGATTCTGCTTGGAATCTATTTGCTCAAACAAACTTGAACATTTTAATGTTCCAGCATAGGAGAAAAAAAACGTTCAGAATACTTTTAGTTTATTTTTTAAAAATTAAAATACCTTAGCCATTTTTTTTTAAAGATTGGGGGTAGAAAGTTCATTTCTTGGAATATTTACCTTATCCATTCTTATGACCCCACAGAAAAACAGTGGAGTAAGAGCTCACTTTAAGTTCATATTGTTCCCTTTGGGAAACACATAGAATGGAACAATTTTTTCTCATAGATTTGTAGAAAAATTCCAGAACATTTCAGGTTCTTTCTTTAAGCTTTAAAAAAATGTGTATGGCTTATACATATCTGCTTGAAATGCAGGCTTTTAAAGTTCTCGGTTCCCTTCTTGAAGTGAGTCAAAAAACCAGAATGTTTTCTGGCAATATACACTGCTCAAAAAAATAAAGGGAACACTTAAACAACACAATGTAACTCCAATCACACTTCTGTGAAATCAAACTGTCCACTTAGGTAGCAACACTGACTGACAATCAATTTCACATGCTGTTGTGCAAATGGAATTGACAACAGGTGGAAAGCATAGGCAGCTAGCAAGACATCCCCAATAAAGGAGTGGTTCTGCAGGTGGTGACCACAGACCACTTCTCAGTTCCTATGCTTTCTGGCTGATGGTTTGGTCGCTTGAATGCTGGCGGTGCTTTCACTCTTGTGGTAGCATGAGACGGAGTCTACAACCCACACAAGTGGCTCAGGTAGTGCAGCTCATCCAGGATGGCACATCAATGCGAGCTGTGTCAAGAAGGTTTGCTGTGTCTGTCAGCGTAGTGTCCAGAGCATGGAGGCGCTACCAGGAGATAGGCCAGTTCATCAGGAGACGTGGAGGAGGCCGTAGGAGGGCAACAACCCAGCATCAGGACCGCTACCTCTGCCTTTGTGCAAGGAGGGACAGGAGGAGCACTGCCAGAGCCCTGCAAAATGACCTCCAGCGGGCCACAAATGTGCATGTGGCTGCTCAAACGGTCAGAAACAGACTCCATGAGGGTATGAGGGCCCGACGTCCACAGGTGGGGTTGTGCTTACAGCCCAACACCGTGCAGGACATTTGGCATTTGCCAGAGAACACCAAGATTGGCAAATTCGCCACTGGCGCCCTGTGCTCTTCACAGATGAAAGCAGGTTCACACTGAGCACATGTAACAGACGTGACAGGGTCTGGAGACACTGTGGAGAATGTTCTGCTGCCTGCAACATCCTCCAGCATGACCGGTTTAGCAGTGGGTCAGTAATGGCGTGGGGTGGCATTTCTTTAGGAGGCCGCACAGCCCTCCATGTGCTCTCCAGAGGTAGCCTGACTTCCATTAGGTACCGAGATGAGATCCTCAGACCCCTTGTGAGACCATATGCTGGTGCGGTTGGCCTTGGGTTCCTCCTAATGCAAGACAATGCTGGACCTCATGTGGCTGGAGTGTGTCAGCAGTTCCTGCAAGACGAAGGTATTGATGCTGTGGACTGGCCCGCCCACTCCCCAGGCCTGAATCCAATTGAGCACATCTGGGACATCATGTCTCGCTCCATCCATCAACGCCACGTTGCACCACAGACTGTCCAGGAGTTGGGGGATGCTTTAGTCCAGGTGTGGGAGGAGATCCCTCAGGAAACCATCCGCCACCTCATCAGGAGCATACCCAGGCATTGTAGGGAGGTCATACAGGCACGTGGATGCCACACACACTACTGAGCTTCATTTTGATTTGTTTTAAGGACATTACATCAAAGTTGGATCAGCCTGTAATGTTTTTTTCCACTTTAATTTTGAGTGTAACTCCAAATCCAGACCTCCATGGGTTGCTAAATTTGATTTCCATTGATAATTTTTGTGTGGTTTTGTTGTCAGCACATTCAACTATGTAATGAACAAAGTATTTAATAAGAATATTTCATTCATTCAGATCTAGGATGTCTTATTTTTGTGTACCCTTTATTTTTTTGAGCAGTGTATATTGAACTCAGTGTTACTTTCCTGTTAGTTAATTCTGTATTGTATTAAAATAACATGCTTATACAATGCATATATCAGTGGCTTCAGAATTCAGCAAGTATGCCTTTGGCTTTTTGACAACATTCTTGTAAGGAGAAACTGTTGAAGTTCCTAACTTACTCCTTCCTCTCATAGAACACAGTGGAATCCCCCAAATAGTTAAGGGGTAAAATTCTTGATGCAAAACGTCTTGCATGTATAATATACTAAGGCATTTCTCCGAAACTGAGCTTAATGTTGAGTGGCAATAGCACATGAGCCCCCTGCACTGTTTAAACAGTCCTATTTTTGGCATCTGGGTGTTGGCTTGTCTCCCCAGCACTTTTAAAGTGAAGTGGTTGTATGCAGAAAACAGCTTACAGCTCTGGGACTTGCAAAGGAGAACTTAAAATGGGCTGCTGTTTCGCTAAAGAACCAAAAAACAGCCATAATGAGAAAATGAGCCTGCTGCAGAAAAGTATAGAAGAGGAAACCTCTGAAAATAGGATAAGTAAAACTTTAACTTCAGTTTTAGAGGCTAAGGAAAAAATGGAATTGCACGTAATTCAAGAGGCAGGTTCTCTAGAACCTACCATTTATAATGACTATACAGAATCAATTAAGCATCCTTCAGCCCATCGTGTGGGGTTTGCTGAGAACATTTCTAGGCAATTTAAGCCTCATTGGTTTAATACAGAAAGAGGTTTGAATAAGTATGATCCTTTACCAGAAAATGAATTAACAGATGGGATTAATGATAAAAAGCTAACAGAAAAAAGCAGTCATAATAATCAGTTTGTGAATAATGTAGGCAGCCATCATATTAATAGTGAAAGTGAATTGATTCTCTTTGAAAAGCAGTGTCATTCATTTGAAAATACTTCTGCTTTCTGTGTGCCAATGGCTTTAAATCAAGAAGGTTTCTTCCTAGAAGCTCTAAATACTTATGGTATAAGGAGCAAGAGTTTCATGCCACAAGCTGAAATGGAGACTGTTGAAGATAATGATGCAGTTTCAAGTAGAATGGATAAGGAAATAGCAGCTTTGACAAACTCTGTATGTTTTGACATAGATAGACATCACAGGAATGCCAAAGATGAATTCTATAGTATTTGTATAATTGACGATGATATGAGAAATGAAGAAAGGCAAGCAATCACTAATGAAGAGTCCATTGCCATTGTACAACCAGCCACTATTCAGGAAGACTGCCGTTTAGCATGCTCAGTAGAAGAGAGGGAAGAACTCTTAGTTCAGGAAGCAGGGCTTGTGCCAGTTAATATCAGCCTTCTGAAAGATGCTAATCTGATGAACAATAATGCAGTGCAAGAAAGTGAAAAGAAAAAAGACCCTCCCCTTGGCTTGGTGAGTGAGGGCTATAGGTTGAATACTGAAAGCATAGCAACATGCGGTGTAGAGGCACAAGCACGTGTTGAAGGTCCTCAAAATAGAACTTGGAAAATGGATATGCTTAATAGTAGGATCATTTTGAATGAGTCAGATTGTGAACACAATTCTTCAACGCCTATGCTTGTGGAGAAAGGCGTAGACATGAATTCTTTGCAATTCAGAAAGTTAGCATATGTATGCCATTCCAGCCCGGATGATGGCAAGAGTAGTAATGCAACTATTGATTCAGTTTTTGTAAGACAAACCAATATAGAAACTGTAAGGCAAGGAAATAGGCAAAAAATAGAAAACAAACAAAACTGTTTTAGGAATGTGAATGAATTTCAGACAATTGCTGATTGCAGCGATAAGGAAATATCAGATATTTCTGAACAGAATACTTCAGAGAATCTCTTGAAATATGATACAGTTTCCCATCAAGAAGCTTCATACAGTCCTGAAAACCCAACTAAAAATGCTATCACCATGCTTTCAGCATCAAATGATTTAGTTTCTGGAGCAGAACAAACACATGTACCAGAGTTTAGCAATAATGAAGATTGCAACTCTATAAGAACTGCTCAGCAATTCCAATCTCAGATAAATAGTATACCTTCAGAAAATTCTGGTTTGAAAAAAGGTCTGCTGGAGAACAAGGAGACTACAGCTTTTTCAGATCTATTCAACATAAATGTTGAAGGTAAGAACATCGAAAAAGAAAATTGCTTGCAAGATCAAACCCAGCAAGATTTCTTAAAAAGCAGCAGTAAAACACATGAATATTCCAGTGCACTTAATGAAGGCAGACATTGCTCCATCTCTTTGGGCTGTTCTGAATCAAATGAGTTGGATTTGGACAGGAAACAGTCAAAGGCATGGAGCAAATATACATTCTATAGGCCTGAAGATCAAATAAACGTAGTCCCTGCAGAAAACTTTATAAATGGAGCCCATGAGACACTGTTTAATGAAGTGGGATCTAAAGATTCCAATATTAGTTTTACTTGCATATTAAATACCAGTAATAATTCACCAGAGATGCATAGTGTATCTACAGAAATACAAGAAGAAATGCTTGCAAATCTGAAAGCTCCTAAAAATCTGCAGACTTGCCTATCTAACAGCCAAAGTGAAACCATGAGGTTTCCTACATCGGATTTAATAGCAGAAATAAAATACAAAGAAACATCTAGCAGTTTAAATGAAAAATGTTCAGAAGTTTATAAAAATAGCTCTTCACTTGAACAAAGTAAAACGGCAATTATATGTCCACATGATCACTTGATTTCTAGATTTTCTGTTCATTATGAAAACTTATTAAAAGAAAACGCAGAGAATTCTACTTTTGAAGACAGCCATGATGAATTAAAAACCAAGATAGAAAATTCTTCTAAAGTACGACCTAAAGGCAATGTGAGCTGTGGTTTGGAAACTTATGAAGATGCAGGTATGAGTTTTATTGACCCCGGACAAAAAGATAAGTATGCTGCTATTCCTTCCTATGAAATACTTCTTTTCCCTGATAATGAGCAAGAATCTGAACAGGACAATTCAAACAACGTTTTAGATCTGATGGAAGATATATTGAAGGACTCTGGTCATATGCAAAAACTATATCTAAGAGATTCAGAAGATGATGGGTATCCGGTTTGTCAATCTGGCGAAATAAATAGATTGTTTTCAGCCACTGATTTTACATGTGGTCAGGAATGTATGAGCTATCTATGGATTGATTCTTTTAACAAAACTGAAAATGCATGTCTGTCAGCTGGCACAATGCAAAACCAAGGTGGAGATCTAAGAGTTTCTCCTTTTCATATGGGAAAATATCCTTATCATTTGTTAATGAAGGAAAAGAGTGCTATTTGGGGATGGCAAGAGAGAGATGAAAAACATGTAAGTAATTGTAATTTCATTCATGAACTATCTTAGAAAACCCAATAGATAGTCCTTAATTTACAACAGTTCATTTAGTGACCATTTGAAGTTACAACGGCACTGAGAAAAAAAGTGTCTTTATGACTTACAACCATTAGCAGCTTCCCCACAGTCACTGGATCAAAATTTAGACGCTTAATAACCAATTCGTATTTATGACGGTTGCAGTACCCTGGGATCATGTGATCCACCTTTTGCAAAATTCTGACAAGCAAAGTCAATGGGGAAGCCGGATTCACTTAACAACCAAGTTACCAAGTTTCCCCATGACCTGCCCCATTCTATGAGAACCTAGAGGCTGCAGTCAGCCCTATTGAAAGACTAAAGTTGTTCTCCTATTTTGTAGAATCAGTTCACTATTGTAAAGTTTTCTAACCTTCTCCCAAGGTTTAAGCCATGAACACCACTCCAACACCATTACCACCACCACAATAGGGAATTGGACAGGAAACGAGATTGTAACTGAGACACTCAGAGAAACACCATGTAATAATTAAATAATTGATTATAATAGCAAAATTTGACAGAATAGCATTATATATTTTATAATTCTGCAAAATATACAATAAAGTATGGTATATATAATGCCAAATGCATGTACAGAAGTTAGTATAGTGTTAAAAAGTAGCACCTAGCCACCTTGTTGAAATACAAGAACAGTGAGAAAATTCTTAGTTCATTGGACAACCTGTTGCAAAACACATGGTTTTGTCTTTTTTTAAAAAGATATGAGTTTTTTTGTTAACAATATTAATGTACTCTAATTTTTCCCGACTGTCTTAAGATTTAGATGCAGGAATACCAAATCAGGAATACATTAATATTGCCTAAACTGGATTTGTAACTAAACATGTTTTAATATGACATTTGAATATTGCAATTGTTTAAAAATGATCAGGCACTGATTTATTCTGAGGGACTGAATTTTGTAGTATTAATTGTTGGCAGAGCTAACCAATTGTCTTTATAAAATATGCTGCATGTGTCTTATGCATCCCTTTGTCTTTATTTGGAAAGAAGTAGTACCTAATAATTTAAATGTAGTGTATTATTCCTTTTAAAAATGTTCCCAGGCATATATATTTTACAGCCTGTGCAATTAAAACTAATTCCTTAAGGGAAATATTTAATTAAAAGGCCAATTTTTATGATAAATGTTTAAATAGCTTTATTATTTTGAATCACTATAGCTAAATTGTAAGAGAATAGGTTAACATGGAAAACTATCAACGTAAAAGATTTCAACAGTTCTAGCGTAAAATTTGCTTGAGGCTTTTAACCATGCATATTATAAATTGTTGATGAAATTGTCTTTGGCTCTTACAAACTACATAACTATTTAGGATTATATGATTCAAACATTTTCCTGAGTTGTTTAACCATAGTTATGCAACATAATGGTTGGGTTCATATATTAAATACGTTAAAAACAGACATTAGTGTATTCGTATTTAAACCATCTGTTTTCACTGGTTAGGTGGCTCTAAAATCACAATCATCTGTATCTCTATATAACAATGGTTTAACTTTAGAAGTTTACCATAAGAATACGGTGTTGCTTTTGATTTTTCTATTGATTATGCTTTTTGTATGGTTCCCTTGTTCTCTGCTGCCCTTATGAGTTGATGAAGGTATTGGCCCTAATCTTACAATGTTTTCAAAGACTTAGATCTACTTTCAGATTAACAGATAATCAGAGTTGGAAGGGACCTTGTAGGTCATCTAGTCCAACCCTCCACCCAAGTGGGAGACCCTATACCATTTCTGACAAATGGCAGTCCAGTCTCTTCTTGAAAGTCTCAAGTGATGGTGCTCCCACAACTTCCGAGGGCAAGCTGTTCCATTGGTTGATTGTTCTCACTGTCAGAAAGTTTCTCCTTATTTCCAGATTAAATCTCTCCTTGATCAGTTTCCATCCATTATTACTTGTCTGACCTACAAGACGCTTTAGAAAATAGCTTGACCCCTTTCCCCTCTCTGTGGCAGCCCCTCAAATATTGGAAGACTGCTATCATGTTTCCCCTGATCCTTCTCTTTCTTGTCATAAATAAGAATTATTATTGCTTTTTCTTGTTCCTCCAAAGTTTGTTCGAATGTGATGATACAAAGAATGTTATGGGAATAAATTGTGCAAAGGGACTGTAGATAAGGGCGAAGTTGGTGGAAATTCATCCCTTTATGTGATATTGGAACAAATTTAAGTTAGTCAATAGAGATAAATAGCATTGTTCATAATAAAGAAATGTAAACATGAGATGCTTATGATTTAGACTTAAGAAGCAAAGTGAATTCAGCTAAACACCATTCAGGATCTTTATAGGAAGTCTTTTTAAAAAGAGTGTATCTTTCATCTGGTGTAATACCTATATATGCAACTCTTAACAGTAGTGTATTTTTAATGAGATAAATGCTGCTGTGTGTATATCTGTATATGTGTATTTATGCAGTTAATGAACGTAGGTGTTCTGAGTATGCATTATGAATTACAGGAGCCAGCCAAGGTTTCAGAATTAAATCCTAATGCAAAAGTGTGGGGGAATCACATGATACACGTGGAAGCAAGTGGTACTGAAAGAGGTGTGAGCAAACAGTGGGAAGAAGTAACAGATCATCCACCAGATTCCTGTAAAGAAGGTACAATAAATCTGTTTTCAAATACCACATTATTAGTAATAACTAAAGCTAACTATTTGCATTTACACAATGTTTTCCTTGTACAAATAGTTTTCCTTCAATTAACAAGATTCCTCATATTCCTCCCAGTCCACATTTTCTTCTCTGTTTTTATTATAATCTTAACAAAACCAGCATTTACTAAACAATATGCTCCTGGTAGCTAATCTCTTCCTTTCTCCCTCCCACCCCGCATCCTAACCCTGTTCTAGTTGTTCAGTTTAAAAAACAATTGCTTAAAAATTAATTAATCCACCCTTGAAACACATTATGGCTTAGCTTGAGGAAATAAGAGGTTTTTTTTTTTTTGCCAACAGCAGTCATGTGTACACAAGTAAGAAATCATTGCATATTTCTTGCAGGTTTCATTGAGAGAAACTTAACCGCAAATAACAGCAAACCCTTCCAGGAGTTAGTCAGAGTGTGAAACCTTTGGTGTCTAAGTCACAACAAATGAAGTATATTTTTGTGACTCTTATAGTTTTCTCCACAGCATTAGAGGCCAATGGTGATGGTGACAAAAAACACCAGAATGAATCGTTCAAAGGACATCAAGAACCATCACTATCTGTTCCATTATCAAATCAAACAGATATGAACCCTTTGGCTCTAGATCATGCAGAATACAAAACAGTACATGAAAACACTGAGTCAGGTATGGAAAAGGTCCTTGCTCATTCTTAAAGCTGTAAGAGTTTCTATAAGAGTTTATAGAATAATCTTCAGGAAATTTTCACATTTTAGTTACTGAAGAAACATACCTGAGCAGGACTGAATTGTAAGCATCGTTATAGATGTGCCTATATGAACAATACCTGTGACTATTAAATCCATAACAGTAGGAAGTGCAGAATAATAACTTTATCATCACACCTGTGTATTGCGACTCATCTAATTAGAATTGCTGCTTGCCTTGTTAGGTTTGTCCTGCTTACACACATACTAAAATAATTTGCTTCCTGTCATCTTCCATTTTAATATCAAGCTGAGTGCACAACTAGAATATTTTTAAAAATGTAACATTCCACACACTCTTTCAGCTTAACACAGCCTCACAGAGTCAAGAAAGGTTTTGCCTTATAGACAATGTTGGGAGTTTGGATTTCTGATAGTAAATATGAATGGATATTATGGATCTACATATTGTGTTATACTATTAATTTCAGTTCTACAGTGAATTAATACCTCCAACAGGCTCGTGCACTTCAAAAATCCAGTTCAAAGAAAAGTTGAACTTGGTGGTCTTTTCATGGCCCAAAGACCAAGAAAGACCCAGAGTGTCTTCTAAGCAGTTTCCTTTATTGTTTATCATCCACAGATAAGAGATCTTGCCAAACTAAAGGAAACTCCTGGCATCCTTATAAGATATACTTTGAAGATTTTTAGGGAGAAGCTGTCTTCACCTTTTTCCTCCCAACCAAACTATCTAAAATTTGTTGTCCCTTATTCCTCTGGAAAGCATTCTCTGTCTCCTGGTAAACCAGATTACATTCACCACCGTTCTGTATAGCCATCCCAGAGTCAATTTGGAAAGGGAAATGGGTGGCATATAAATTTAATAAATATTATGCAGAGTTTCTTTAAATTTTAAATTTTGCATTTGATGGTCATAGGAAAAACATATTATGTAAGACATTGGTATATTCTCATTCCTCCACCAACATCTGCATATTTTCTGGCCTCTGTTTAGACACAGTGAAGATGAAGAAGAAAATAAACACAATCTTATTGTAATCATTGAGCAAAGGTAGCTCATGCTGTCATCTTAACTCTTATACAATAGTTGGAAAATAGTTTTTGTATGCTGAAACCATTGCCTGAAGGAGAGGAGGTCCTGATTTTGGGGGGGTGGATTGTTAAAAGTCATACCACCTTAGAATTCATTTGGGGAAGGAAACATTTGAGGTCAAAGTCTTAAGTCCATGTCTGCTATTTCCCAGGGGGAGGTAGACAATCTGGTGTGATGCTTTTGAACCAGTGATCAACAATAAAGAAACCTATTTGACCCATTCTCAGAGCTATTCAGCTTGCTTACACCTGGCATTTCTCAATGCTTATATAAATTTATTTTAAACTTATTTTGGAAGAGTGGTGTTCATACCTATATGCGTAATTTTCATTTGATGTGGTTACTTTTGAACCTTCTGATTTGTTCACAAACCATGGAATGTGATTAATTGGAAGTGCACCTAGCTCTGACATTCTCTTGGTGCAGTTCTTCTTCATCACTGAGGCCTATTGAATTGGCAGAATTACTCCTTTAGCTTTGTTTTAACTATATTCTTGTGACTTATACGTGTATTTATTTTCTGCATGGAGGAGCTGGGAAAAGTGAATAAATAAACATGCCCAATGACTTTGCATAAACTGGAGGTCTGTATAAAAGGAATGTAAATATATGATCTTAACAGTGAGTAATAGCAACAAAATGCTTGTAGTTTGAGTTCTCATACCACAGGCATTTGCTCCACTGAAGGTTTTGGCATTCTATAAGCTGCAGCTATTCAAAGTAAGTGTTAATCGTGTTTGTAAGTCACGTCAGTTGCAAAACAGACCACCCACGTGATCAATTCGATTATAGAACCCCCCCCCTTTTTTTTGCAGCCATCAAAACTTTGGAACTGGGTCATAAATACATCTCAGGAGGTCCACCATAACGTCAAACGGTCACTCAGTGATTAGTCATTACCTGTAGTGTCAAATAATATGCACAATATTAGCTATGTTGCTTTAAAATTGTAATGTTTTCCTTAACCACTAGAAATAGTTAAATAGTTAAAACAAACAAATACATTTTTCAATCATGTAAAATTTCTGCAACTTTCAGGTGCTGTTGCTACGATAATGTTATATATACTGTGTACTAAAAAATCCAAAACAGTGATAGCTGAGTATTGGAGGCCCTTGATTGTTTTCAGATACATAACACCAATCTTAATCCAAAAAGTTACTTATTTTTAATGTGGAAACCATTTCTTATAACTTGCTAATTTGGAAAGAAATAGTGAATAGATTGTGTATTAACTCTTAAATATATTTTTGTTCATTGACCGTTCAGTTTAGGTAATTCCTCTTTTATCAAATATTTCTAAAATTATGGAATAGTTTCACCCTTCTAAATGTAGCTTAACACCATTGACATACTTATTTCATCTGTTTAGAATCAGATAGCTTATCTCAAAAACCTGAACCAGTTTAGATCTGGTTAATGCTTAGATAGGAATTTCCTGGCGAGTCTGTAGGAAGTTTAAAAAGAAGAAAAAAAAGAAACATATGGTAAACAATTTCTATACTGATTATAAAAAAAAACCCCTGTATGGAACCCCGTGAATACCACATGCCATAGTGATAGACTATCTCGGCTAGTATTTTTCAACTATAGCAATTTAAGATGGGTAAACTTCATCTTCCAGAATTCCAGTCATTATGTACTGACTAGAGAATTCTGAGAGTTGAAGTCCATCCAAGATAAAATTGCCAAGATTGAAAAATCCTGATCTAGCCACATCATTTACTACTTTTATAAAGAATTATGTACCATTTTCCCCTTCATTTCTTGTTTTCAATTCTAGGAAGTAAAGAAAATCTTCGGCCAGAAGATCAAGAAAATTTACGAGAAGCGCTTAAAAAAACACTGGAGTTCTGCTTATCAAGGTAAGTGTATAATGGATATAATATAGTCAAGCCTCATGCTATTGCTAATAAGAGGACAGATTAAATGTTAATTAGGGTGGCATAGCCAATATAATTATGAATGCCATAACAATATGTTAGTCTCTGGACTGCATAGAAATTCATGATCAGGCAGGGATGTATTTATATGTTAATTTTATAGCTTGAAATTCAGAAAGGTTGGGAAGGAATGAAAATATAATCATGAAGATTTTATTTTCCTTAATTGTCCATTTTCTTATCTTGATTTCTACAACTGAAACACAAGATAAAAGCCAATTTTACAAGTTGCCGGTCATTTGCTAGATGTCCCAGGGCTCTCCATTACAGGAAGGTTTGTTATAGCTATGCTGGCTGGAGAATTCTGGGAGTTGAAGTTCACAAGTCTTAAAGTTGCCAAGTTTGGGGATACCTGCTTTAGAGGAATTAATTATTGAGAATAGATGCAAGTCAATTGTATGCTGTCCTCTGCACTAAAAAGAAATGGTACCTTGTTTTGCTTATCATTAAATGTAAGGTGACAGACACTTAGAAATCTTGTATAAAGTGAATTATATAGTAGTAATTTTTCAAGACTCCCCACATAATCTGATTACTATTTAGTCTTTAATATAAAGCTGTAGCTTTAAACAAAATTTAATGAAGCCACATGCTGCCTTCATGACTGGCTAGAAGTTTGGTATATCTTGTTTTTTTCTGTCTACCTGGATACTGTTTTTTAAAAGCATCTGAAAATGGGCTACTTTTGGCTTTCTGTGTCAAATGGTTCAAGAAAAGCAGGACATGACAATCTAAGAGGCAAGAACATCAAGTTTGGCTATAATTCTGTAATTTTGCAAGAAATGAGGCATTTTAAAGTTAAAAGGCATGATTGTATCTTAATATTTAGGAATAATATTAAAGGCCAATGCAACCACCAATGCAGCACTCTGGTAGAATTGCATGGAGAGTTAAATTTTATACTAATTTTTTTTCTTCTACAGAGAGAATCTTGCCAGTGACATGTATCTTATATCTCAGATGGACAGTGATCAGTATGTGCCAATAATCACAGTAGCTAATCTTGATCACGTCAAAAAGTTGAGCACCGATATGGATTTGATTGTTGAAGTGCTGCGATGTAAGTAACGGCAAATCATGTATTTTTGCACCATTCTTTAGAATAAAAGAGCTTAGTTGAGATGGGCAAAGTTGAAACTCATTTTTATTCCCTTAAGAAGCAATGTATCTTAAAATGAGAACACTTTTTTTGTAGTAAGAGAGCTTTATTCAATACTAAGTTCTTTTATCTTAATCAGAATTACGTCTCTTTTTGCTGGCAGTCCTTGACTTAGAGCCAAAATCAGGACTGGAAGATTTATTGTTAAACAGTACAGGCATTAAAGGGGGTATCATATGACCACACCTGAGTTTATGATCCAGTCATTAAACAAATCACCATAGCCATTAAGTGAAACATAACATGATTGCAATTTGAGACCTTCCTTTCCATCTTCCTATTAACCTTGCTTTTTGGAAGCTGGCTAGGAAGAATTAGTGATTATGTGACCCCAGGATTCTGCAGTCATCACAAAGCCAAGCTCCTGTGACATAAGTGTGAGGATCAATCATAAGTCATTTATTTCAGTGTCATAACTTCAAACAGTCACTAAATGAATGATCATAAGTCAAGAACTACCTGTATTTATTCACTAGCTCTGAGTCAGGCTTCAGGAATGTAAATGTGCCTGCTGGCTTCTTCTAGTGAACTATGAGTTTGCAAACAGCTATCCTGAATAATGGCAGTTTTCCTGAATACGGTGTGCATTGAGTGCCTTACTTTAAGCTTATTTGCACTCTCAAGAATATCTGTGTTGGAGTTAGAAAGCCTTTAAGGACTCAGAAACAGGATAAAATGACTTCCTTTCTAAAATGACTCTCCCAGCACCTCTTAATTATCAAGCACATATTTTTCTGAGAATGCATAGTTGAAACCAAAGACAGCATAGCTTCTTTAGAAGGTTTCCTCAGCTCCATCCCAAGTCCCTTTTCCATATTGGATTAGAACAGCTGTGTGTTGATGTTTAAAGTTTAGACGTGGTAGATAGAGCAGTGAAGGTAATTTCTACCTTAAGTATTGGGTGTGTTTGATGGTATATTGTCAGGAGAGCCCGTAGCATGAAAAGTTAAATATATCTATCTTCCTTTCCTAGAAGCCCTCTAGCCTACCTTGTTGTTAGATGATGGCAGAAGTAACAACAGTCTTCCAGAGAGATGTCTTTCTCCCATATTCTCTCACTTAACCCAAGTGTGTCACAGAGCCTCCCAACCTATAGTCAACAAGTAAAACTTTCAGTGGCAAAAGAAATAAAAATATGTTGCTCAATTCACAACATCATCTTAAGGAATCTCCTATAAAATGTTTCAAAGGAGAATTTCAGTTTGAGGCAGATCTCGGGAGATAAGACATTTATGAACAACATAAGAGGCACTATTGGACAGAGATCTCAACATTCATTAAACATAGAATAGCTGAGCTTCCATAGTATGAAATATATATCAGAACCAATAAAGTTCTGCTTTGTCCACAGGAAATAAAGAATAACCTTAGCTCACCGCTAAATAGACATTTATGTTCGTTGCCCAAGTAACACGCCTTTTGAATTGTGTGGGGTTTTTTAGCTGTGTTTGTTTTTTTGGTTTTCTGGAAAGTCCAAATTTAATTTGGAGCTACAGAAGGTTTTTCCTTCTATCCTGATTCTGATGTGCTTTCTTGCGTTTATTAATGATCGCTTTGTACTTTATAGGAGAACTAAGAATGTTATACTCCTCAGTCATGTTTCAGTTAGATTGAATACAGATTTAGGCTCTGACTTTGTCTGGAAAGGGTTATAACAGGAGGAAATTATAAATTTTAATTTATTCCCCTGTTAAATTTTTATTTTTAATAACAATTAAGCTAATGCAATTATAGGTTAATAATGAGTGGTCCTCAACCTGTGGTCTGCAAACCGCTGGGGGGGAGTTGATATCATCAGATGGGGTCTATGAAGGCTTGAAGAAATGTTATGATTTAAATCGGGGGTCTCCAACCTTAGCAACTTTAAGTCCTGGTGAACTTTAATTTCCAGAATTCCCCAGCCAGCAAAGGGAATTCTGGGAGTTGAAGTCTGCCAAGGCATAAAGTTGCCAAGGTTGGAGACCCCTGATTTAAATCTTGATTTAAGTCTTGGAGGTCTGTGGCCATAAAAGGTATTTAAAGGGGATCCATGATAAAGAAAAGGTTGAGAATCACTGTGATAGATATTAAAAGTAATAAATACAAAATAGAATTCTACCTGTTGACTCCAAAGCAATAACATTGGGGGATTTTTTTTCAGCATTGCCTTTAGTCCAGGTAGATGAAAAAGGTGAAAAAGTCAGACCAAACCAAAATCGCTGTATTGTAATTTTGCGTGAAGTACCTGAATCCACTCCAATTGAAGTAAGTATATTATTTCATCAACTGAGTTTTTAGAGTCTTATTTTTTAAATTTATAAAGATAGTAAAACACTAATAAGAGAGAAGATACCTGGAGCATTAGCTTTACTATTTCATGACCTGTCTTGAAATTAAGCAGAACTATATTAGTTCCTGGATACTCTTTATAGAAATATGGCTTCAGTAAGGGCTGAATCAGTCTTTGGCTATAGTTCTCAATGAACCCTTCTTCTCTGCAGCCCTGACAAACTATCATTCCAGTCCATCCATCTCATTTATTTATTTATTTATTTATTGTAGGAGGTTCAAGCACTCTTCAAAAGTGAGAATCTGCCTAAATTCATCAACTGTGAGTTTGCGTATAATGACAACTGGTTTATTACATTTGAGTCTGAAGCGGATGCACAACAGGTAAGCTATCTTTTTTGTGTATGGGTATGTGTGCACTTCTGCATGCATTATATTGAATTGCCTATGTCAGAGACTGTATCATCTTCTTTTAATAACCCCATAATCCCTTGCGGAATGGAGTCTGGGCAACTGAACGGAGCTGAGTGTTGGCTGTTGCCAACGCAGTTATACTCAGCAGATATATTCTCAACGTGCCCAGAGAGGAAATGTCTGCCTCTACCTGGGATCGAATTCACTGCCTCTTGAATGTGAGGCGAGAGCGCCACCTCTAGGCCATCGCACCACATGTCAGAGATTGCATGATTTAGATTAATCATGGCTCAAATACTATGATGAGAACACAATCAAAGAAGACCTCAGCTACTAAGTGACAATAAGAGATCATTGTCCCATGTTTAGAACAAAACACTGACTGTTATGCAAATAAGGATTCCATAATTAAATATACTTATTATTTCCCACAGTTAATTTGGCAGTTGGCAAATAATTAAAGGTAGTCAGAGCAAATAGTTAAAGTAGCCACAGTCAGTGTTGTCATATTATTGCAAGTTCTCCAGTTGGGAAGGTATTCATAATGTTAATAGGTATGTTAACTCCACTGGGTGCATAGCGTATAGTTTATTTCCCCCCCGCCCATCTTATTAGCATAAGTCTTGGTAGATTTTGGAAGTCTAGTGAAAAGGAGCCTGAAGTTAACAGTTCCTCAACTACTGTAAGATGTTAATAGTATCACTTGGGTTCAAGTCCCACTAAAATGAGTTATATAACTTGTTCCTGTTGGCTTTAATAAATCTAAAATGCATATTCTGTGATTATCAAATTTGCCTGGATTTCTCTCAAAACATTCTTCAACACCATAACTGCAAAAATCTCCAGTGCTCTCTCTAGCTGGTTCTTTCCCACAATATGAGGTTATTGCCAGATCAAAATAAACACAAAAAAATTTATGTGTTCCCAAACATGGAGCCTATAATATGTTATTTGTTAATTTGAATTACATATGTAAATTCTACATTAGGTAGAAAGGTGTTCATGCTTTTGTTCCCATTAATTCAATTGCACCATTTCAAATAAGTGTATCTTTCTTTTAAAGGCTTACAGATACCTTAGAGAAGATGTGAAAACTTTCCAAGGAAAACCAATTAAGGTAAATGTATGATTTTGGAATTTGATTTTATAATTGGGATAATTCCAAACAACATCTTCTAAGGATATAATCTTCTATCATTTGCAGGCACGAATAAAAGCAAAAGCTATAGCTATAAATTCATTTTTGCCAAAGAATGGATACAGACCAGTGGACATGAATATCTACACACAACAGCGTTATACAACATCATTTGCATACTTACCTCCAGTATACGGGCCCCAACAGCAATTTCCACTATATAGTTTAATTACACCACAAGCCTGGTCTACAACACACAGCTATATTGATCCATCGTTGGTAAGCAAATTGGGGAACCATTTTGTTTGTTTGTTTGTTCATGCTGCTGAGAGGAATTAGGGGAACTGTCCACGGAGAGAAAACTTACACAATTGTATTTTACAACCATTGTATGTATTATTCCTCTGTACCTAAAGCTCTCCATGTATCTATACCTAGAAGAGGGGATTATGCTCAACTTTTCTGCAGTGGTATTCAGTAAGACAGAGAACTTTTAATGAGGAAAATAAAAATCCTTTGAAACCTGACGGTATAGTCTTGAAGCCTTTAGTTTAGTATGTTTGCACTGTTTGCAAAGTATAATTTTGAAACCTTTGCTTCCCCTTTTTGAGTTGGACATCAAGGCATTTCCTGAAGTAGCTTATTTTAGAGTTAAATCTACATTACTTGATCTAATACTATGATTCAAACTCAGAACAGTCTGTTTAATAAAATCTGGGATGGAAAAAATCAAACAGGTTAAAATTCCAGACAACTTTCTGTGATGTAACATGCTTTTTTATATTTTAAAACTTTCAGCATGTCGGATTGATAATGTTGCCTTGTCCTTGATGTGTATTGATTTTTATAAATTCATTATACTAAGCTTACTAAATCAAATCTCACAGGATATAAAATTGCATACAAAGATATTTTATCATATCTCTCCCTTTTATGCTTACTTTCTTCATGTACATTTTTGTCCAGAAGAACCAAGGTTTTAGAAATATAAATGTAAAGGTAGTCTTCAACTTACAACAGTTCATTTAGTGACCGTGCAAAGTTACAACAGCACTAGAAAAAGTGACTTATAACCATTTTCCACAGTTATGAGCTTTGCAGCATCCCCATGGTCATGTGATCAAAATTCAGATGCTTGGCAATTGGTTCATATTTATGACCACTGCTATGTCCCAAGGTCATGTGATCAGCTTTTGTAATCTTCTGACAAGCAAAGTCGATAGGGAAACCAGATTCACTTAACAATTAGCTTTGTTGTAGCATAAGTGATTCACTTAACAACTGTAGCAAGAAAGATCATAACATGGGGCAAAATTCACTTAACAAATGTTTTACTTATCAACAGAAATTTGGGGCCATATTGTATTTATATTGTACCTGTATTTATATTGTGCTGTATTATGAGTGTATTTTATTCTAAAACCAAGGTTTGGTATGTAATGAGAATATTGTATTAATGAGAATATTAATAAGCACAAGCATGATGCTTATGCAGAAAAGTAAAGTGAAGTGTGCTATTGTGCTATTTTCAGAATTTTATGGATATATTGAAAGTTTCAAATCTATATCTGAAATTTTCTGTTCTATAGGTCGCCCCATTTCCAAATACTGGATTTATCAATGGATTTACAGCTCCTACTTTCAAGCCAACTGTTACTCCACTTGCTACTCTTAGGCAGTATACACCAAGAACCAGGCAAGTTCTGTTAATACACTTTGTTTACCTGGACAATATTCCTGGTGCAAATAAACTTATAAATATCTCAGGGGTTTTGATTACAAAATGTCACAATTTCTCTCTCTTCCTTGATCTCTTAAAAAAGCATACACAACAAGTAAGGCAGGTAAAATGGAATAGGGAAATATTTGTATAGAAGACAATGAACCAAAGAAAATTGTGAATTAGCTGCAAATGTTTTATACCAAATTATGAATTCCATTACTAAATGACCATTGAGTCATAACTCTTGTCTTTGTGCAGAGAAATATATTAAGCTTTGGACTGTAGCCATCCATCTACCCTATTCTAAAGATGCCTCTAGGATTTGTGTTTGGCCCAGAGGCATTCTTGGAAATATGGACTGTGATTGAGAATAGTGCCAAACACTGTGATCAGTTGACCTTAGACTCCAGTAAAAGCTGTGCATGTTGGTGCAGTTCTAAACATCTCCTGAAGATGTTATATGACAGCTCTGAAAGGTTTTTATTTTTCCCTGTCCAGAAATCCCAGCAAATCATATCTACGGCATACAATTCCTACTGTAGACAGAGGGACTGGATTGCTAGAGAGCCCTACAATATTCAATCTTTCTGCTGACCGATTAATCAACGGTGTCAGGAACCCACAAACCAGGCATCCAGGACAAAACAGGACACGGATGCAAAGTACTACAAACTATATAAAGCGAGATGTAGGGAGCGGGCGAGTAGAATCCACGGCTTCAGATTCATCCCCCAGCTTAGGCAGAGGAAGGTGGGTATTGAAATTTAGGGTAAAGCACTAGCCCCTGAGGTTTGGGAATGTTGTATGTTTCCATGTTAGAGATTTCAAAAAGAATAATTCTATGGAAATGAGGCAAGAAAAAACTTCTCAGTTGAAAAGAGAAAGATTTAAACAGAAGCAGAACTATTTGAAGTGAATTATTTGATAGTATAATCGGTGACAAAACACTAAGGAGATTCTCAGGTCACTTTAAGCCGTGATGATTCAGTATGTGAGCCAACCTTTGTGTATAGAGAATAATTTCATTGTCCAGCTAAGAAGTTTGTCTGTCTGTTTGTCTGTCTGTCTATTGATAATCTGAGTAAAAACATAACAGCATATGGAAAGTACTGGTTCAGATGTCACATTTATGTGAGGACCTGAGGGCAGGAGGAGAAACAATGGGTGGAAACTAATCAAGGAGAGAAGCAACTTAAAACTAAGAGAAATTTCCTGACAGCTAGAACAATTAATCAGTGGAACAACTTCCCTACAGAAGTTGTGAATGCTCCAACACTGGAAGTTTTTAAGAAGATGTTGGATAAACATTTGTCTGAAGTGATGTAGGGTTTTCTGCCTAGGCAGGGGTTTGGACTAGAAAACCTCCAAGGTCCCTTCCAACTCTGTTATTCTATTCTATATTATGTGCAATAATAATTTGTGCATAATTTACAACTGCTTACCAAAAAAGCTGATTGCTACTATATTGAATTGTTTATTAAAGTGGATCTAATTAGTGCAGCTTAGAAAATAAATGGCAAAGGAATTACTTCCAGAAACTTGAGGAAAAAGGTTTTTTTAAGAAAAAGAAGTTATTTAATGAGCATCATACTTTGGATTTTTTAATATTTAAAGTAAAACAATGTACATCTAGACTTACAAAGTTCTTGCATAAGTGATCTTCACTGAAAGTTATAACATTTCTGGATTCAGGATATTGGACATTTCTGATATTCCAGAAACGCTAGCTGATGTGGTACAAATAAATGGAAAGCATAGGTTTGAAAATTGGTAGCAAGGCCATTCAGACATGTATGACTCTTCCTCTTGCAAATTCAGGATAGCATACCAAGTCCTCCATTTTCTACATCCTTTCAAAAAATTTCACATGACCCTGGGAGGTAGGTTACACTAGGCTGAATAATAGTGATTTGCCGAAGATCACAGTTCACATACCTGACAAAAATAATCTTGAGCCTGCTTCTTTGACCTAATTGAAAGTTCTGATAGCTACACCCCAAGGGTTTTCTCAGTGTAAGGGTATAATCACATTTAAAATGATACCTTAAGAATGAATAAATTGTAATAATGATGATGTCTGTCCTTCCAGAAAAAACTCTTACGGCTATCGAAAAAAGAGAGATGACAAGTTTGTGGTGAGTATGCAATGTCTAGATATTCACTTGAGACTAGAAGATTCTTGACTAGAAGATTCTTGACTAAAGAGTAGCACAGCCTCAGTGAGGAATGATTTGACATAATGTTAAATGGTGATTTAAACTGTAAAAATATCTATTCTAATTATCTATTCTAAATTACCTCCAAATCGTCATGAGGTACATGGCAAAGTTGATGGTGACTCACATTTGTGTTAGATTTTTCAAGTTGTTGAAGCAATTTTACAAAGCATCCCCCTTCTTGTTCCAGTTCTGTTTGAATTCCTTTTCTAACTAATCTGTTCTACCAAACATAGGAAAAAATTCTCCCATAACAAAATAACTGATTCTTGTTTTAGTCACAATGGTTTCCTGCAAACTGCTTGATGTTTTAGCTGATGGTGTTCTTTTCTCCTTATCTATAATTTCCATCTTTTTTTCCTTATGCTTCTACGTGGATTTTGTCTTAAAATTTGAATCTCCCTTTCCATTTCCTCCACAAAACAGAGATACGTTCACATTACTTGTTTCATATTTTGGTCATATTACTAAGAAGAAGAAACACTTAATTTTCCCATATTACAATGGATATAGTTTCCAGCTTCCTGTAGAGAGCCATTTAGAATTGTAATTAAAGGAAGCTGTGTGTTGTAGCTGTTCTTTTAATGACTTTAATTGAAACTTTAAAAAAAATAAGATTGAACCTATAGGATAATATAAAGTAAGAAATGAAAGAAATCCATGAGAAAGAAAGTGAAAGAAAACATAAATATAAAAAAAGAAGTGGCTTCTGATATTCTTGCTGATATAAGTACAATTACATTTTAATCTCTCTCTCAAGTTATGTATCCTAATAAAGCCATAAATCTCAAGTTCATTTTTATCATTTTTACACAAAAAGTCCCTAAGAGCTTTCTCTACCAATAAATGTAAATAGAATCTTTTTTTTTTGTAATCAAAGAAATTAATTTATCCATATCTGCAAGATGTGTCAATTTTACAAAACATTCCTCCATAGTGCATAGTGTTGAATCTTATCTTCTGTCTGCGTGATTGTTTTTCATGCATAAAATTGTCAAGTTGTGCCTAGAAAATCTGCATCAACTCCTTAAAGTAAGAGCTGATTTTTTTGTTTTTATTCACCTGGGTTTCTTGAAATAAAGATGATGGTAAAAGGGCTTTCTTTGTTGCATTACCTTTCGTTTGGGACAGCATCCCTTGAAGAATCACTCCCCTCCCACCATTCCTGCCTTCAAGATAACCTTAAAATATGGCTGTTTCCTAAGGATTTAGTTATGTTATTTGGTAGGCATGTCTAGGTTGGGGGGATATGGAAGAGTGTTTTCTCCATGGTTTCCTCAGGGTGGTGGTTCTTCTTTTATAGCATGTTAATTCCTCTGTTGTTAATTTTTGCTAAGAATCGTTTTTTATGTTAGTCAGTCTAGAAATGGATGGATGGCAATATTAATCCACTACTCGTGGACAATGCTTAAATGCGTTGTGTTTCATTCTAACTTCTGAATGATAAATTTAAAACTATAACACCTACTTAGACATAGCCTGTTGGCAGGAAAGAAAAGTATTTAATTAAATAGAAAGTCAACTGATGTAACTACTTTATGACTGCCTAAGTGTGAGGTATGCATATTTTGATTGTTTCCTACAAGTTTGTGCCCTTTTTCTTGAAGGTTGCTGTTGCCTTGCTTTCTTATTCTACACTTCTCTTGCAGAGAGGACAAACGCAGTCTCCACCGCCTACAAAACCGCCATCTCCAAGTTTTGAGCTGGGGTTGTCCAGTTTTCCTCCCTTGCCTGGAGCTGCTGGCAATCTAAAGACTGAAGACATGTTTGAAAACCGGTTGTCAAATGTGAATGTGTCATCAAAAGAAAAAGTAAAAATCCACAGATGTTGGGCAAGGGTGCATTTAGGGACACACACTTGTTCACTCTGAGGATCATAATTCTTTAATGGTCCTTTGTGATGGTTTTGAGAAAAGAGGCTTAGAAACACCCATCTTACAAAGTATTGCTTTCTGCAGCAGGCTATTTTCTGTAGTGCTGTTGTACTTGATAGTAGCTTTGCCAATATCACTTGGCTAGAAGCCTGCTTGGCATGGCTCTTTATATCCTACTCCTTTATATCCTACTCAGATTTTTCTCAGAATGGTATATAATAGGGTAACCTTCAGCCTGGAAAAGGGTCACACTTCAAACACTAGGTAGAAATGCTTACTGTTACATGTGTTGTTAAGCCCCTCAGATACCAAACTATGTAGCAGCAAATATTAACTCTACCGTTTATTTCTTGTGGTGGACAATTTCTGAAATAGTCTGTATTTGGATAAAATCAAAGCAATGTATCATATTCAGCATTGACTTTGATGCAGATTGAAATTATTTTAAAAAGTTATCTACAGCTATTGTACCATGTTTAATTTCTGAAGTAAACATGGCTTAATCTTTCTTTTAAAATTTTAGTAATTGACCACAGGGGTTGGGCAGGGCTGCTACAGGTAGTCTTGCAAACACAATTGAACTCCAAATTTGTGTTGCTAAGCATGGTTAAGGGAGTTTTGCCCAATGTTACCACCTTTTTTTTGGCCAAACTTGTTAAGCAAATCACTGCAGTTGTTAAGCGAGTCATTCGTTCATTAAATAAATCTGGCTTCTCCCATTGACTTTACTTGTTGGAAATCAGCAAAGAAGGTTTACAAATGGCAATTGCATGATGTTGAAATGCTGCAACTGTCATAAATATATGCGAGTTGCCAAGCATCCAGATTTTGATCATGGGAAACTGCAGTGGCCATAAGTATGAAAAATGATCATGAATCATTTTTTTCAGTGGCTATAACTTCAAACAATCACTAAATGAATCATTTTAAGTCAAGGACAACCTGTACTACCTTTGTTCTGCCTCCCTCTGATGACAGTGGTTTGGTTATAAATATATTCTGCATTTGAATGGAAATGTAGTTTAAATGACTTGAATTTTGTTTTTCTCAGGGCATCAGTGTAGGTACAAACACAGTACCAGCTGGGATTCCTCGTGAGCTTTATTTGCCGGTTTCTTCTGCTCTGCCAAGGACATCTGAAACATCTCCTTCCCCATCCCAGGCTCCTGAGTAAGGACCTTATAATACAGAGCTTTGAACACATTGTTTTGAATCAACATTTTCCATTGTCCATCATCAAAAGGCTGGATATTATTCTGTCAATAGATTTTGAACCATTTTATAAATAACATTGCTTAACAGCAACAGCATAGAATTTTCATCTGAATTGTGCAAAAGCACATACTGACTTATGGCTTGATTGTCAGTGTTGAAAAAATTATCTGTGTGTCTGCAACATAAACAGGTTTCTTACAATAAAAATAGACAGTAGGGATTTGCTACTATGGACGTCACTATGCAGAAGGTAGAATTGAGGCATTTTCATTATACTCAGCTGTTCTTTCTATTATTTTACAGTGATCCCAAAGCTATGGACAAGCAGAAAGAAACTCAAAGTACTCAAAGACGTTGGTACATTGTTACTACTGCTTCTAAATCAGTACAGGTCAATGGGGGCCATCTAGCAGTAAGTGCATTTTGGTTTTTATAAGAAGTTGATGAGAACTTTTTGGCTTTTATATTTTTATTTATACTAGAGGAGAGATTTGTCACAAAAACACATCGTACTAAGCAATAATGTGATACATTTTGTTTTGACTTAGTATATTATGCAAATCCAATTCCTCTGATGCTTTTTAAAGAAACCATCATGTTTTCAAAGTTCTCTCTAACCTCAGAATCCCAGTTGTCTTACAGATGGCAAGCGCGTAAGTCTTACAATTATGACATGTTGAATCAAAAACTTACTATTAAACTCCAGCAACAAAGTAGTCAGAATGTGGTGTATGGGCAGTAAATCCACTCTGTCAAAATAGATATGTTCATATCTATCTTGCATGTTGAGAATCAAGAATTAAACCATAATGAACCATTCCTTGTTGTACAAATCCAGCCATTTTAATTTAAAAGCCCTAGATTGTGGTACACTCTATTGTTTGAACTAAGTCAGTTGAAGTTTTTTTTACCAACCATGACATAATGCTGCAATTCATGCCTGTTCCTGACTGCTTCAGCCATCCTCCTGGATGATTTGCTCATATAGGTAGTCCTCGACTTACAGCCATTCGTTTGAAGTTACAGTGACCAATCCCCAAAGTTACGGCTGTTTCAGTACCCTCATGGTCAGATGATCAGAATTCAGGGATTTAACAGCTCACTGAAAACTGCTGGGGCACTTCAATTACCTTCACCCACCTATCTCCCTCTGTCTGTGCCTTTTTTGGCACTGAGCACTGCACCTTCCCTGCTGCCCTAGTTGACCTTGCCATCTTTTTGCTCCCACTGCTAACCAAGCATGCCTACCTAGCCTGGCGCTCCACGAGGCAACTACTGCCTGCGCAAAGCTTTTTTTGTCCTGGTTGTGCACAATGGTTTCCTCACATCTTCCTACAGCCCCAGAGCTGTGTCATGCCAAGAAAGCTCCTAAGATCCTGAACTGAAGCATGGCAAGCAGCCCCAGAGTCACACAATTAGTAGGGTGCAGGGGGACCAAAAGCAAGGATAGGACCAAAAGCAAGGATGGGGGAGAGATAGGTAAATGGGGAGACATTGGAGGCAATCTGTTACATCGCCAAGGGTCAGGGCTGGGAAGGACCAAACTCAGAATGGTTTGGTTTAGGTCAGGTCCTCTTAGCTAAGAGCAAGTATACCGCTTCATATTTATATATATTTATATTCCGCTTCATAGCACAGCACTCTGTGTTGACGGGGTCAGTGTATTGCCCCCAACAATTCTTATTTTTCCAGACTCAGAAGGATGGAAGAATGAACCCTCAGCTGGTCAGGATTGAACTCCTGGCAGTGAACAGTGAATTGGCCTGCAATACTGCAACCTAACTACTGCGCTATCGCAGCTCTTAATGACTGGTGGAAATTCTCTTAAGGAGTGCCAGGAGTGCCATCACTAAGTGATGCAGTCATTAAGGAAAAGTCACTGATCACAGGATGTCATGTTTTATGGCAGCACTGCTTAATGATGGGATTTCACTCCCAGTTGTTGTCCTAAGACAAAGATTACCTCTATTCCTTACATTATTTTCCCAAATAATCTCCAGAGAGACTGAAACTGCAGCATGATTTTTATCACTCTGATGTCCATCAGGGGTTCAAGATTCTAGTACACAATTGAATGTCTTAGCTCTATTTATGATTCAATTCTTCAGAACAATAAAAATTTCTTAAGGAGTAACATTTTTTGTTGGAAGAATCGCAAACCTATGCAAGGCCTTCATCTTATTTTGTGTAGAATTCATACTTCTGGTGGTGACGAGATTACTCAGTTTTATTCAATTTTATTTTTGTGTGTGTTTTTTTAATAAAGCAGGAACGGCGAAAACCTAGTTATGCAGAAATCTGTCAGAGGATTAGTAAGGATGCAGCTCCATTGCAGTCTCCAAAAGAACAGAAGCCAAACACTGTTGCTTGTGGGAAAGAGGAAAGGAAACCCACAGAAACACTAGAAAGAAGCAAAGAATTGAAGTCTAAAGACCAGTGGAGACCATCAAGACACAGGTCTCCTCTTCCTCCATCCGTTGGAAAACGTCTGACTAAAGAACAGAGCACTCCTCCCAAATCTCCTCAGTGAAAGTAGCACTTAGGTTGAATTTCAAGAAGTTTTCACTATGAAATTACCCTATGTTGACACTCAGAGTACAAAGAAGGAGTTGCTGGTTAAAAGCTTGCAGGGGTTATGAAGTATATGAAATGCCTGCTAGAGGTTTTTTGTTGTTGTTTGTTATTGTTTATTTCTTTGTAAAATAGTTTATTATTATTCTTTTCTTACATCCTTATCAAATTCCCCTTGAGCAACCAGTCAATTCCGTCGGTTTAATTAAATTTTATGTTAGATTGGTGCTGAACATAAGACAATGCCTAAAATCTTTTTTTTTTTATATTATTAGAAGGAAGATGCATTAATCTGAAATCCATTTTTATGAAGCCTCCATGTATGGATGAATACAAGCTCATTCTAATGAGGTTTTTTTTTCCCCTAATTTACTAGACAGAACTGTGCTGCTGTATTTCTTTAAATAACTGGTTTGTAAGTAAGAATCTTCAAAAAAAGTCCTGAATACTAATAATAGCTAATACATGAAATATAAAGCAGAACAGATGATTTACAAATCAGTAAGACAAGTTAACTTTTTTTTTTTTTTTTTGAAATTCCAGTTGCTGTAGCAAATCAGCAGAGTATTTTTTTAAGTTTAAAAAAATAAAACTGGTTCTAATATTTTTGTTTTTGGCCAAAGGAGAACTTCATAAAGATCAACTGTGAGTTCTCTAGATTATTTGCATTGATAGATTGTAAGCAAGTAACCAGTTTCTCAGTCCAAGATGAAATGATCTCATGACTTTCTGGAAAAGAAAAAAAAAGCACATTATAAATTAATTAAATGTGCCCTTGTGTATGGTGGATGCAAGCTAATGGCAGTTTTTCACAAGATAGCACAATAGCACTCTTGTGATGAAGATTTCAATTTTTTGTCCTTCTCTCAACCGGGAAGCTAATTTTGAACCCTTTTCTGATTGAAACCCATGCTCTGTGTAAGTTTTCAAAACTGTGTTCCAAATGCTCTTTGAAAGAGTTTATATCTTAAATCAGCCTGAGTGCTGACACTTTCTATACCTACCAACATTGGCACATGGATTTAATTTCTTTCTTTTAGTCCATGAATTGATGGTGTTTTAGTATGTGTGTGCAAGGATGCACAAGAAAGACATTGCCCTGTATCCTGCCTGGGGTGAGATTTAAGACACTTTAGAAGCAACATGCTTTCTGAAGGACAAGGCTGCACTTAATACATTTCTAATAAAGTTGCTGATAAATTATTTTTTGTTTTAAATACCTAAAGCTTTTCTTTTTGGGTGTTTAAGCAGCAGATGGTTCAGATCAAAAGGTGTTCCTACTAAGTAGTTTATTCCACCTACACACGCACACCTACACACACACATACATGCATACACACCAAAAGATTTATTTAAACAACTGATTTTTTTAAAAGAATTATTTCCATCCAATTTTTAAAGACTTGAATTTTATTTAAACTTGAAAATGACTTTGCCTTAACTTTTGTATAAGACAGCTTAGAATTATTGAAGTCTGACCCCATTAAGGGTTAGCACAGGGTGGCATATACAGAATTACTCAGTTACAGTATCTATGTACTGTCACTGGCCTTACTGGGTAAACATACTCTAGTACAGGTCGTAGTGGCAGTTTTTGTAATATACCTTAAAAAGATCTTAAGCAGTTGATCTTTTTCAAAATGTTGAAAAAAAAATCTGTAAATGGAAATAGTCAATACTGTATTAAAATGTGCACTTGGAAGTGTGTGCTTTTGCTTGTACAGGTGTAAATAATCAGAACATATAAAAAGGTACCATTAAAAAACCTGATAAAAATTATTGATATATTATAAATGTTGCTGTTGAACTGGATGTAGATAACTAAGTGTTGTGGTTTGGATATTACTTTAATTTGTTTTTCCCTTGTTTCTTTTTCTTTACTCTGATAAGTTGAGCTAAGTCTGCCTCTTCACTGCTAAGGGGAATGGAAGAAAGCCTGTCTTTAAAAGTCCTGACATTGTAAATACTTTCTGGAAGTTTTGCATTTTGTTCATATGGAACACAGGTGTGCAGTATAAATTTCAATTCCTAGGACCTGAAATTAGTATTATTTTAATGAATTAGAAAGAAACAACATTGCCACCAGAAGCTCCCACCCCAGGTATATTCAACTACTTGTAGGCCAACACATTAGTAAAACTGGATTTAAAATTTCCACATAGCTATTTAAAAAGCAAACAATTAAAAATCCTAGAGCAGTTGATCTCCTAACATAAGTTGCTGCTATTTATAATTATCCTTACCAAAAGAAAAACAAACAGATCATCTTGCTCCTTGCACTGCAGACTTTAAAATGGCAAGTTGAGTCTTGTTTGTTAATTCCTGAGAAGATACACAAGGAGAGAGTCAAAATCATCTTATATAACATTGGTTTATCATTGATCCTCCCCCCCCCCTCCACTCCCATGAGCAGTGAAAGAGGGGCAGTGAGACAGGAGGTATAATTTAGGCCAGCTATGAGTTGTCTTCATTTGCCTGCTGAGAGCATGAATACAACAGCTGCAAACAAAGAGAAGAGGCCACAAGTATAGAGCTAATCATTGGAGCTAGCTTACGATAACTTTTGCAGGTCAGTAGATAGGCTGTATTATTTTTAATGCATTTGCTGCTGCTCTTTATACTAGGCTAATACACTGTAATTCTCACTCAAATAACAGTCTGTTTACTGTGATGGCTTTTTTTTTTCTTTAAAAGAAAGTGTCATGCCAAATAATTCCAGTAATTTTTAACATTCTCGTATTCAAACAGTTCAGGACTATTTAACAACACAGGCTATTTATGTTTAGCTATTCAGATCTGCCTTTTTTTTAAAGTCTTCTTAAATTATTGAGTTGCAGGTTAAAACAACCCATTGGAAAGGGTGGACAGGAAGGCCACCCTTTGGTGCTCCTTGAAATAGAATTATATAGGTTCTTCTGAGTCTGTTTATTCAAAGGATGCATTCAAATATGAATTTTGTTTCTGCATATTTAATATGTACAGTATTTTTTGCCTTAGGATGTCCTATCTACCATTACTACCCTTGCTCCAATTTTGAATCTAGTCAGAAAAACCAATAAATTGTCACACCCTTAATTTTGGTTACTATTTTTTTTTTTCTGCCTCTCTTCTGGAATTAGAACTTGTTTTCAGAGAGGTGTCATTCCTTGGATGCAGTGTTTTGTCACAGCCACTGATTGACCAAGGTTTCCACTTGTTTCTATATCCCTTTCAACATGCTGTAGTTTTTAGGGGTTATGGGCCCAAATCAGACTGCTAGCAGCGGACAATCAAAGGTGATAGCTGCCAAGTCACTAAAGTGATAGCTGCCAAGTCACTAAAGCAAAGATGTCATAGGGAGGCCATGTTTTTCCTGAAGGTGGGTTTTTAGTTCTTCTGTTTAAGACTGGAATCAAGCTTACATGTAAACTATTTGATAATTTAAGTTTCCTTTTATGTCATAAAATGTACAACTGTCTAAAAATGTAGGTTATGAAAAATAAAAAGATTTAGCACTGCTGAGTTTCTCTCTTTTTTAAAAAAAATAAGTCATTAAAAAACCTTTGTCTTTGCATTCACTTAGATCTAAGCTTGTTGCAAAGAGACCAATACCAGAAGTTTCTTTGCTCCTTTCTTGGGCCTGTCCTGGTGCTCTGAGACTGACCCAGTGTGCCCATTTATCAAGCAGTTTGCTCTTTGGTAATATTTGCCTCATGTTATCATTTTCCCTCCAACATACATCTATTTAACTTGTTCCTGGCCCACTCTCTGTATAGTTTGCTCACTTACTTGCTTTAAAACTACTTTGAGCATGAATTGAAGTAATATGTGTTTTGAGTGTGCCATATGAGCCTCCGTGGCGCAGTAGTTAGAGTGCAGTACCACAGGCTGTTTCTGCTGACTGCCGGCTGACTGCAATTTGGCAGTTCAAATCTCACCAGGCTCAAGGTTGACTTAGCCTTCCATCCTTCCGAGGACCCAAATTGTTGGGGACAATACGCTGACTCTGTAAATCGCTTAGGGCTGTAAAGCACTGTAAAGTGATATACAAGTGTTATTGCTATCCTTTCCACAACTGGTTCAGAGCATTTGTTATTTGAGTTAATTGTGGTCTTAAAACTGAAGGATAATATCCCATCTATGAGGGCATGACACTAAAGTGTTGTATATAGAGTATGAAAGGGCTCAACAGTTAAAGCCACTGAGCTTGTCAGTTGGGAAGCTGACAGCCCGGGTTTGAGACCCGAGCACCACGCAATGGAATGAGTTTCAGTTACTTGCCATTCCTGCCAATCTAGCACTGCGAACGCATGTAAAATGTGACTAGATAAATAGGTATCACTTTGGTGGGAAGGTAATAGAGTTCCTTGTTTATCAGCCTATACAGCCTTGCTTGCTACATGACAGAAGCATCAGACAATGCTGACTCCCTCAGCTAAGAATCTTGAGATGAATCAGACACAACTATACAGAGAAAGTCTTTATCTTTTTTTATATACAGTACAGTTTTTGAAAGTCAAAGCTTTATCTTAAAATTATTGAAATCAATTACATTTAGATGTGACTACCTCCAATGATTTTGATTGGTCTATTTCTCATACATGAATAACAAAGTATGAGTTGCTACAGTAGATTTCATACAGTCACTTAATTACTGGTTTGTTTGTTTTTCGCAAATGCTTAATTTTGTTCCAATGGAGATATTCGAAAAACCAAATGAGAGAACAAAAATATATCAAAATTGCAGCTTAACAATATGCATAGGATAAAGTTTTTAGAAAACTCAAGGAATTATTCTGCGAAGCTGGAAATCTTAAGTGGGAAGAAATCTTATTAAACAAATTATGCATATTGACTATGTACTAAACATATTTTGATAGATCCCTGCTGACAGCTCAGAAATAAGTCTGCTTTTGAATGTTGTGCCACATTAAGTTTCATCATGGAGGCATATTTCCATGCATGCCTTGTCATCAGAACAAACTATTAAATCTTTTATCATTGTTCCTTTCAAATATCAGTGAGGAAACTGGCTTGTTATGAAATGTGACTTCTCTAGACAAGTAGGCTTCATGCTTGTCTTCCAGATGCAGTTTTCAGCAATGCTCCAAAAATGGAGCCTATTTGAATTCCTGCTCATTATTCTAGGTAGAAATATGCAGAAATCTGTGAATAGAACAGAACAGAATAGAATGGAACAGGTTTATTGGCCAAGTGATTGGACACACAAGGACTAAATAAGCAATGAACATAAATCATACTAGAAAATTAAATAAAACAATATAAATCGTAAAGATACAAGCAACAAAACTGGTTGGCGCACATGTCTTCACAAAAACTAACATGATGTTATAGTATCTGATTTCATCTAAGTCTACAGAGGTATCTTTGAAAATGTTCCAATCAGTGCAATCAAGGCAAGCCTGCAGATTTAGTTTTGCCTCCTCAGTCCAAGATTTCACTGATTTAATTGTTGGTTCAATGGTTTTAAGCCTTTGTCTACAAACAGATACACATGAATCATGCAATGATCAGAGCGTCCCACAGCTGCTTGTGGAAAAGACCAACAACCATCTTTTAATGTTATGTAGCAGTGGTCTAAAGTATTCTTGCCTCTAGTGAGACAGTGGATGTGCTGAAAATATTTTGGTAGCTCTTGGCTTAAGTTAGCATTGTTGAAATCTAACACAATGAGCTGTGCTTCATAATAATTAGATGGGTGACTTAAAGTATTTGAATAAAGGCCTAACATCTAAGACCTCATTCGTGACAGCTGTGGACGAGTTCCTTGATGCCCATCAAGTTTCCAATTATTCTGGTTTTTTATTTTGAGGCTAGGCATAGCTATTGCTGATAGATGGGAGAGACTTACCCAACAACTTGCAACCTTCCTTGCTTTCCCCATTGACTTTGCTCTTTCCCCATTGACTTTGCTTGTAGGAAGCTGACAAAGAATGATGATCACATGACCATGGGGCACTGCAATCATAAGTGCATGTCAGTTGCCACATGCCCAGATCAGGCGTACCAAACTCCCAGGCTACAGCCCATTCAGAATCAGGCCTGCGGGCAAGTGCGCACATATGCTCAGTGCATGTGGGCGAGTGCACGCATATGCTCAGCTCCACTTCCACATACACAAAACTTGAGTTGTGCAAGCAGCAAGTGCGCGTGCACAGTGTTCACACAGAACCACTTACTATTATTACCTTTATTGTCAAGAGTACAGCATGTGTACAATGAGATTGGCTGAGCCTCCCTTCGTGCACACACACCCAACACAATTCACAATGAGGACAGAAATCCCTAACCTAGTCCCAATCTTATTACACTATATAGACATGACTTTGTTGCATAATGCCCCGGCCCCACAAGTCTTATTATATAGACATGAAGTTATTTTCCATTCAGAAGTCTGACTGCCCATGGGTAGAAACTCTTCTTCAGCCTGTTGGTCCGGCTAGCTATGCTTCTATATCTCCTACCCAATGGTAGGAGAGTGAAGAACCAACCCCTCTACCCACCCACTCCCACTGATCTGTAAAACCGGAAAGGTTGGGGAACACTGTTCTGGATTGATTGCAGGAGTGGTTCAATGGCTGTCATTTCAAGGCCAGTCATAAGTATCACACCTTCAGCATTGTAATTGCAAGCAAGGACTACCTATAGTTTAATGACACAGCCAGGAACATCAATCTATGTTTACTTGGAAAATATCTTGAGGTCACCGTTCTCAGAAATAGAAATGAGCAGTTGGTGACGAGAGAAAGCAACTTAGAAAATGGGGGGGGTTTGCCTTTGATTTAATGATAGATGCTAGCTGGTTAGTTGGTTTTGTTTTGCATGGTCTTGTATTCTGATGATAGGAATAGGCTGTCTTTCTGCATGGGAGTGTGTGTATTTTACTAAGCATCACTGGTATTTCTTTTTAGAAATAAATGATTTTAATTTTCCTTTGTATTTAGTTTCATGGTCAAGTTCAATGCTTCCTAGGGAGCACAGAATTTTGAACTGAGCAAAATGATTTTGCACTGTGTCACCTCTTCCCATTTGGTCTTTTGTTTTAGCTTTATCTCCGTATTGGCCTGGAAACAGGTCCATTGATTAACCAAGGTAGCCATTTTGGGCCCAGAGTACTTTTCACCAATATGTCCATAGCCTTTCAAGAAGATTGGAGATCCCTACGCTGAAAAATATCTCAGGTTAGGGCTACTTAAACGTATTTCTTACAATAATGTTTCCATGTTAAATAGCCTGACAGCCCACAAACTATTACAATGCCTTCTATGTATCTATAGAAGATGTGATACAGGTATCCTTGACTTATAACCAAATTTAGCCTCAAATTTCTATTGCTGAGATAGTTGTTAAGCTAATTTTGCCCCATTTTAGGACCTTTCTTGCCACAGTTGTTAAGTGAATCACTGCAAATGTTAAGTGAATTTGACTTCTCCATTGACTTGTCAGAAGGTCACAAAAGATAATCCCATGTCCCTGCCACTATCATAAATATGTCAGTTGCCAAGCATCTGAATTTTGATCAAATGTTCATGGAGATGCTGTAATGATCATTAAGTGTGAAAAACAGTCATAGGTCACAAAAGAAATTTATCTTTTCAATGCCATTGTAACTTTGGTCACTAAATGAGCTGTTGTAAATCAATGATTACCTGTAATGTAATTTTCTCATATAGCTTGCAGGTTTCTTCTTAGAAAGGTTTCTGCCTTTTTCTAATGAAAGTAAATAGTCTAACTTCATAATTAGGCCTGTGATGATGAAACATCAAATGCTCGCACATTGTCAATGAAATTTTAGTCGACCTAAAAAAAAAAAGTTCAAAAACTTTAATACAATGAATGAAAGAGGTAGGATCAAAGAGTAGGTTTGATTGACAAGAACAAAAGGCTCTTGATGTATGAGCCATCCTCACATTTTAGTCGCAATTGCTCTTAGTATGAACAATTAGGATGACATAATCTCTGCTCTGTCAGTCCAACAACTTCACAAAGTGAAATATTCTTGCAGCTGGCTTGGATAGGAAAACGGACTAGGCAGATACCTGAAGTACCAATGGAATATCAAAAACACCATGTCTAAGGAGGTTGGGAATTCAACCTTGCTCTGAATGGATGGACTCAGCCTGAATGGAGGTGTTTGAGTGCAGTTTGAATGTGGGAAAGTTACACTTGGATTAATTAGCCTGATTAAGCGGGGTTTTGGCTATGGATTCTCTTTGCTCCAACTTATTGCAAGCAAAAGTGAGACCACATCATTCAGACCCATTGTAAAGATAAAATATTTTCCCACCATAACCAACCCTTGTTGGTTGACTATGCATAGGCCACTTGAGAAATTATGGGGCACCTCAGCACTTATCATTAAGATGTATAGAGTTATCTTCTGATTCCCATCCCCACTGAATGAGATACCAGATATATCAATATTGTAATGTTAACTTGTACAAATACAGATATGTTTTCTAAAGTGAATTTATGGCACTTTGAAATACAGGTAATA